TAATATGCACTGTTAGGCCAAATGATTTTACTATTTAAATAGTAGAAAACAAATTTTTCATTGAAAAGCAAACAAAATAAATCTGAAATGATGCCAGGAAAACTTCTAGTATCCAATATTCTATATAACTTGACAAAATTTAGAAGCAGCTCACTTGTTAATGAACCCTAAAGCAAGTTCTATTATAAGCTTCTGTCAGGAGGCACTTACTGTGTTACCCTGTTGTATGCATATGTTCTGAAACAATGCAATCACATTTACATAAGACATGTGTAATGTGCAGTTTAGACTCCCTACAGTTATCTTGCAAATCAGTTCCCTCACTGAGATGCTACTATTTCCCTATTACTGTGACAACTCTGTAGCTCATTTTTAATTCACTCATTTTTCCAAGGTCTTGACACTCTTTTCACAGAGCCAACCAAAGAGTATATAGCTTGATAAGATCCTGGGCATAACAGGAATTGCAAAATGATACTTTGAGATGCTGTAACAATTATAATAGGAAAGTAACATTTCTATTCAAGATAGAATTGGATGCTATAAAATGCTAGTGCTAGGCTTCTTAAACTTTTTCGGTCCTGATCCATTTTTCACTGGATTTTTTTTTTTTTTTTAAACAAGACTTTAGGTATACAAACCATCAAAAGACAATAAATTATCAAGCTATCATACAACTGTATATATATATATATATATATATATATATATATATATATATATATTTACCATTTATTAAAGAGGAATGCAAATCTTTAGGTAGAGATGGGAAGGTGCCTAGCTGAGTACTTGCAGCAAGCAAGAGGACCATAGTTCAGGTCCCCAAAGCCAATGCAAATGCCATAAATGCCGGGTCAGTTGGGTGTGGTGGCCTACCTGTAATTACAGTTAGGAAGACAGATGCCGGTTTCTCAGAGCAAGACCAGCCAGAATCTGCAAGCTCTAAGTTTAGTTAAGAGACCCTGCCTCAAAAAATATGGTAGAGGAGTGACTGAGGAATATTTCTGCTGTTACATCAGACCTCCACATGCACCCATACACATGTGTACACAAATACACACACATACACATGAAAAAAAAAAAGAATTTAAAACAACGGGCCTGCCAGATGGCTTGGTGGGTAAATGAGCTTGCTGCTCAGATTGAAGATACAAGTTTTGATCATTAAGACTCATATGGTGAAGGAGAGAACAGACTCAACAGTTAAGTCGCCCTCTAACCTACACACATACAAACATTAATAATAACGTAAAACGTACTTAATAATATAGATGTGTTCCTTGAGCCCTGGCTGGAGATCTGACCCTGCAGGATAAAGTGCATCTTCAATGTTTTTTTTAGAGTTGACTGATACTTTGCTTGTCTAGTTATCAATGCAAACACACAATATACATAAAGACACCCAAGTATTTCGGGGTAATTCTGAAATTGTTGGAAATGATGTCCTAATCCCAAGCCAAAATTTGTGTAATGACTTTTCAAAATCAGTAACTTAAAAATTTCAAATCAAATATTTAAACACAATACAATGAAAGAGTAATTTGCTACACACTGAGAAATGATGGTAGAAATACATTGAATATCTCTTTTCTGTTTAACAACTATGTTTCTGTAAGAGCCAAACACTTTGTATGTACAGTAAGTACACTGCAATTTGTAACACACAGTAGTCTGGAATCTGAGCCAAAGTGTTCCGACAGTGGATACTGCGTTCAGAGCAGGGGTCCAGTGAAGTCACATGTTGTAACAGCAGCAAGCACTGCTAAAAACACCTGGGCTTCACCGTGTTTGACCTTTGAGTTTTTGTCCTTAGGTGCTTAGAAATCTTTTAATTTTTATGATTCCATATCGTTCTGGCCCTGTATGCAATCTTGTATTAGGGCGCCACCCACAGTTAAGCAGCTGTGTTAGTGTGCCTTTAGTTTGCACTCCTAATTAGATAAGTTTAAATCACAGTTCACTGAAAACCAAGGAACCTCTTTTACCTAAGATGCTTTCTGGGGGTGGGGGGGCTGGGGCTGGGGCTGGGTGTCAATGGGACTAGAACTCCTGCAATGGTTGCCTACAGTCTTTAAGATAAAAAGTCTTCAGGAGTGGCTGCATTGTCTTCCTCTGTGGCCTGGTAAGGCTGCTCCCCCCTCAGGGGGAGGTGATCAAAGAGCAGGCCAATCAGTTCATGTTAGAGACAGACCCTGTCCCCATTACTATGAACCCACTTGAACACTGAACTGCCATGGGCTACCTCTGTGCAGGGGTTCCAGGCCATCTCTATGAGTGGTCTTTGGCTGGAGTATCAGTCTCAGGAAAGACCCCTGTGCCCAGACTTTTTGGATCTGTTGCTCTCCTTGTGGAGCTCCTGTCCTCTCCAGGTCTTAGTATCTCCCACTTCTTTCACAAGATTCCCTGCACTCTGCCCAAAGTTTAGCTATGAGTCTCAGCTTCTGCCTCAATGCCCTGCAGGGGAGAGCTTTTCAGAGGCTCTCTGTGGTAGGCTCCTGTCCTGTTCCCTGTTTTCTCCCTCCTAGCATGGACTAGGGTCAGAGGGAAGGGGAGGAGACCTTCCTTATCAGTGGACTGGGGGAGGGGCACAGGTGAGGAAGAGAGAGGGAGGGTTAGATTGGGAGGGGTGGAGGGAGGGAGCTACAGGGGGGATACAAAGTGAATAAACTGTAATTAATAAAAATAAAATAATTAATTGAAAAATAAAGCCCTCTTAATGGCCCTTAAAGTGAGGAGCTAACCTTGATGATAAAGTGAGGTAAGGTTTGATAAACCTTGTTTCTGGCCAAGTTCCCCCCCCCCCCAAAAAAAAAAAGTCCTGCCACAATGGTTTAGGCTTTTTTAATGACATTCCAGATTGCTGCACACACCCGTTTCATAGCTCACTCTTTCGCTGAGTCAAACTCTCTTCCAGCAGATATTTCAACTACCTATACTCCTTTTCTGCCAAATGATCTCCCAAGCAGCCTCAGGATGACCACTTGTTTATCATCCCTTCAGGAAACCAGGAGTGTGCGGGATGGTCTTTTGGGACCCTCTGATGGCAGCTGGCAGTTACAGCATTCCAGTAAAACTGCCCTCTGCTATCAGACTTTAAGAAAGGTGTCTTTTTTTTTTTTTAAATTACTTTATTTACATTTCTGTTTGCCCTCATATATATCTGTGTAAGGATGTCAGATCCCCTGGAACTGGAGTTACATGGCCATGTGGTTGCTGGGATTTGAACCTGGGTCCTTTGGAAGAGCAGCCAGTTCTCTTAACCACCGAGCCATCTCTCCAGCCCCTTAAGGTGTCTGTCTAACTCCACTCCTTGCACACAGCCTTGGTACACAGCATTTCAGTAATTATGAAAGAAAGAAGGGTTCAAACCTGTCCATTGCTACACTTATTATTGTGGTTTGACCCTGCTCAAACCACAAGCTGTTGGTCACAATGAAAAACAGAAAACAGTAGGGCACCATTAACATTAATTTCTCCATTTTTACTGGATAAGTCATTTAGTGTGATGAACGAAAATGAAGGCTATTCTCAATATACTAGATCTACATGTGATACTGAGTAAAATATACGTAAAAGGAAACTGTATGCACACATATGCTCCAGATGGTGAAGGAGGATTACCAGTCCCCTTTAAGGAACACACATTGAAATCAGTGCCTTAGTTTTCAGCCACTGTTGAGGAAGGAATGTCCACTGCAGGAGTAGAGGCATAAAAACTCCGATTTTCAATTAGTCCAAAGAGCAGATCAAGGTAATTGTGTCAACAAATCTTATAAACAACTGATGAGATTCTGTGTTTCTTTAGTTACAAAGTCGAAGAATGAGGGGGCCAAGAGTTGGGGAAAGAGCCCAAAATACTTTATTAGTGTGAACTATAAGGTGAAGTTAGTAATTTAAAGTGAAAACAGACTAGAAAGGAGCCAGAAAACAAACAAAACCAGAGAAAAACTTTAAAATTCAAAGGAGGTGAAGTGAAATCAACATACAAATTGCTGAGGGCTTATGGGTAGGAATTAAACTTGTTTCCTAGATAGCCGGTGAGTCACTGGAAGTTTTTGAGTTAATAACAAGTCATGGAATGTGACTACAGAGGCTCTAAATGACCAAGTTTTAAATGTGGGGAGCTGGGGTGTGGTTCAGTATTAGAGCACTTGCCTAGTGCATGGGAAACTCAGCGTCAGGGAAAAAAAAAGTGAATTTCTTATTAAAGGCATTAGTGGTTTCTGAAGTTAAAGTCAAATACCCTGGGGGAGACTAACCTAAGGTTCTAAATAGGATGGAATTGAATATGCAAGCAGAAAAACCGATAATGAAAAATGAAATGATCTGACGTAAGATTAACAAAAGTGTGGGGGCTGGAGAGCTGGCTCAGCAGTTAAGAGCACTTGCTGCTCCTGAAGAGGGCCCAGGTTCAGTTCCCAGCACTCAATGTGGCTTACAACAGCCTGTAACTCTAGTCCCAGGGGCCTTAAAGCCCTCTTCTGGCAACTGGGCACCAGGCCTGTGCGCACTGTACATACATGCAGGCAGTATACTCATACACACAGAATAAAGTCTTAGAAGAGCTAACCTTAAAAAGGCTGGATGGCGTGAAAGGTTTCCCCACCTCCACCTGACCCGAGGTGGTGGTTGGAGTGCTTTGCTGAGTAGGCAGTGTCCACTAGGACACTGAGGTTTAGATCAAGTCATGAGAACTGAAAAGATCCGCACCTATCAACTGGTTAACTTTTATAGTTGATGTTTTCCTGACTGGAAGAAGTCACACAGTAGGACGTCTCCACCGTTCCTCACCTTTGTCCTGGGACAAAGGTGATGTGCCGGGCGCCCCTTCTCCGCCAGGTGGGCAGAGGCGTGCCCCGAGCCACGCCCACACGCACCCGCGGCGGAGGCTCCCCCTCCCCACGTCCCAGGCGGCCCGGCACCGCGCCGGCGGCCTGGGGTCTCCGGGCCTCCGCCTCCCTCCCGGGGGCGTCGGAGGGCGGAGCCGGGCTGAGCCGTACCTGCGCCAACACCGTAAGGCCGCCCTCGCGCGCCGCTGCTTTCACGCGGCCGTGATGCCACGCCGCTCCTGCCCCTGCCAGGGCCACGCCGGCCACAGCCGCTGCTAGAGGGCCGCGACTCGGCACGGCTCCTCGGCCGGCCGCGAGCCCCCGCCGCAGCCTTTCGCCCCAGGCCGCCAGCCGAGCGCTTCTCCCCGCAGCCGCCGCCATCTTTGCGGAAGCGCCCGAGCGCCGCGCTGCACCCGCACCTTCTGCTGCCCGAGAACTCATGAGCTCTCGCGATAGCTCAGCGGCCTCCACCCATGCTCTCCGCGCGCTTTGCTGAGTGTGGCTGCCTCATCGACGTTCAAGAGTGGCTTAGGTGTGCCCGCTGGTTCTGGTGACAGGTTCCAAGGCAAAGGGCGTGAGTTCGCTAGAAAACTGCCCAAACAAGTCGGGGCCACCATCGTTGTCCAAGAAAGGGACTGGCAGGGTGGCTCACGGGTTAGGCGCTTGCTGCCCTGCCTGAGGACCACCGTTGGATTCCCGAGACTAACAGCTACAAGCAACTCCAGCTCCAGGGGACCCAGCGCCCCCTTCTGGCCTCCAGCACCCTCTCCATAAAAATAAAGTTAAAATTAAAAAATAAGAAAGGGTAGGAGGTACTGGGTGGAAGGTTGCGACCGCGTGTATATCAGACAAGCTTAGGAAAAGGGAAGAAGTCGGTGTTTGAGGATAAATAGCGAGGCAAATCAGACTTAGCGTGACTTTTCATTCGCTGCCCTTAAAGCTTTGGCCGGCTCTGAAAAGCTGATGCGGACACTTTGTAGCTGGAGAGGGAAACACTTCTAACAATAAGCGGTAAAGAGTGTTAATTATGATCGTGGCCACCGTAGAATCCCATCCTCGAAGAAGCTAGGGTTTAGGGCTGAAAAGTTCTGCACCTTCTACACCATTGTATTTGTCCTAAATGCCCCATGCCTAGCTATATCGAGTTGCTTGAGCCAGAAGGTTGGTTCAGTCGGTAAAGGCACTTGATGCCAAGTCTGACTGCCTGAGTCAGAAGTCACAGGTTGTTTCCTGACTTTCTGGTTTATGCAGCGAGTTCCAGGCCACCATGTAGTGAAATCCCATGTCAAAAAAAAAAAAAAAAAAAAAAGGAAATAAAGAATATGTGTACACATTCACCCTTACAGATCTCTATTTTTACAGACAAGGAAACATTAAATCTTATTTTTAAGACTTATTTTTATTTATGAATAATGCATGTGTGTATGTATGCTGCCCATGGGTGGGTGCCCTTAGGGTCTGGAAGAGGGTGTTGGAACCCCCTGTAGCTGGAGATAGAGGCACTTGTGATCAACCGGATGTGGGTGCTGGGAATGGAACTCTGGTCCTCTGGAAGAGCAGCAAGCTGTAATGAACTGTAATGTTTATTCACTTTGTATCCCCCTGTAGCTCCCTCTCTCCTCCCCTCCCAATCCCACCCTCCCTAAAATTTGATTTTTAATTAGAGTAAAATGGATGTTACGCTAGTATTTTAACCACATTTAAGCTCAAAGGCCAATGGCATTAAGTACTATACATGTTGTTATACAACAACCATCATTTATCTCTGGATATTTTTGTTTTTAATCTTGCAAAACTGGCAAATACTTTTCAAGAGCCTCCTCCTGTTTGTCCATTCCCCAAGCTCCAGTTCTTTCATTTTTATTAAATATCTGATCCACACTCACAACAATGATTTTTTTCAGAGCTCACAGACAAAGACACTGTATTTTAAGCATTTGCTCTTTACTGAATGTTCCGCTTAAGTTTTGTTCTTACCAAACATTGAATGATAGCTATGATCCCACCTGGGGCTAGCAGCAGGTGCACACCTACTTCATGCCCCTGTCACCAGGGCCCCTCTTGTCTTCTCTAGAGCAGATGAGGTAGAGGACCTCAATCCTGACTGTTCTTTTGCTGGTAGAAAGGATTTCATCCTGGTAAGAGACATGGTTTCATTTTGTAGCCTGGGATCCTCAATTCTTCCTCAACACTGCTGAGTTAACTATATTCTTGATCAACTTCTGAAATGACCTCAGACATTAGAACCTCTACTTGGGTGTGTAGCATTTTGATGCCCAGGTCAAAGGTGCCAGAACTCCTGATGAATAATAACTGCTGTTTTGAAGCATTACAAAATAAAAACAAAGACGACAGCAAAAGCTGGCATACCCAATCCAATTTGATAAGATAATGGAAGCCACTTGGATCGTTACTGTCCATCCCTAGTCTTTGCTGCCTTCATCCTAGCCAGTATGTTCTGATCTGCAGCGAGAGCTGCCTCCATTCCTGCCAGGTGCTGAGACCTTTCCAATGTGCCTTCCTAGCAGGGAACTACTGTACGCAGACTTGTCAGCCACATCTCAGGTTTGGATTCTGGCTCTGTCAGAAACATCGCTTTGATTTAGGGCACCGAGGCTCAGATCTCTCATCTGTAGACAACACTCACCGTTTCAGATGGGAAATGAAATGGCATCATTTACAGGAAGTGATTAGCCAAATGCCTGGTGCACATGATGCACTCATGACAGATGGGAGTTTGTCCTCTTTAAGATTTGGCTTACTCCTGCTCTGGCATCACAGATGAGCCTGACTGGATGCCCACCATTCCAGATCATTAACCCGTATTAACTCAAGGTTGCTTAGCCTTTCCGCCTTTTCACATCTCACCTGATATGTATCCTCAGGTTTATTTACACCTCCGCTGATTTACTAGTTCTTGACATGCATCCCATTGTTCTGAATTACTGATGCATGGCTTGTTTCTGACTCTTAGTGATTCAAAGGATTTCTAGGACTTGTTGAGACACAATGGATATCCTATCTTGTAGCTTTGTCTCACATTGCAGAAACCACGTCTTTATCTGTTTCAAGCTGTCTAATTTGCACAGCTCTACCACCTATTTACTGGAGTCCAAATCTACTTCTCAGTCACGATCCCAAGTCCAAGACAGGTGCCAATCTTGCTCCACCACTCAACATGTTTAAAACATTGTTTCCCCCACAATTTGACATCATGGGTGAGAATATCTTCATTTCTTTGTTTCCCTGGTGCAAACACAGTGTCTAGCACACACTAGACATTCAACGAACAGACACATGAATAAGTGATTGAAAGCATGGCACTGTTGAAATGTTGGGGCACCCATTTCCAAGTCTGGGGTGACAGACATGCAGAAATCCATTGCTCCTTTACTACACTTATTTTTTTCTAAAACAAAAGCATTATCTTAGATTTGCAGATTTTTTTTAAAGGTGGGAATCTTTGACCTTGCTTGGAAAACTGCTTTGTAATTAATTTGTTTTCATGTTATATGTCCAGCCCCCGAGAGTTCTCAGTTAAGAATTAATGTATTCAAACTTTTATTTTGCAGAGGAAACAAAGTCTTTTAATAGAACCGATCTCTAGCCAGCTAACCATTCTAAGTATGAAATTGTTCCTGGCAGCTGCTGACTATATTGGTCTTTTGGGGCCCTGGCTTTGTTCATTTCTTCATCCCCAGCTATAGAAAAAGCCCTGAGCTGGGATGTATTTTCAACCAAGCAGTTTATAAACCAATCCCCAAATAAGGAACGGCTGCTTCTTCAGCTGTAACACCCAGTCTGTTTTAAAATGGTAATTGGAGAGAAACAGAATGGTACCACGGATGGTTTCTAAATATTGTTCTTAATTCACTTACTCAGGGATCTTTCTCTGGAAGAGGGACAAAAGTGATAAGGAAACAGCATCAACAACAAAAACCAAACCAACTATCATGAGGGCCCTTTCCCCTCTGACCAGTGACAAGACTAGGCTGGATTCTACAACAGTGCCAGATGGTCCTTCACCACTGGGTTGCAAAGAAAGGAAAGGACCCAGTAAGCTGGAGCAGTGAGTGAAAGCATAGATGGAAGAGAAGCTTGTAGAGACAGGGCGAGGGGCAGGATGGAGAGAGGACCGCATACAATGTGTGTTTATGAGCCTTGGAGCAGGAGGGCTGGGTTGGCTTTGACCTTGTGGCTGCTGGTTGTGGGGGAAAAATTTCTGCAGTATGTACATTCATGTTCTGTTTAAAAATTCGATGCATCTGGAAACTGCGGAGATCGCTCAGTCATTAAGAGCACTAGATGCTCTTGCAAAGAACCTGGGTTGGATTTGCAGTACCTGCATAATGGCTCACACCTTTCTATCATGCCAATCCCAAGCATCTAATTTCCTGCTCTGGCCTCCCTGCACATATGTGGTACACAGACATACATACAGGCAAAATACTCATAAACATAAAAATACAACCCCCAAATTAAAAATACGACACATTCTGAAAGGCAATCCTGCTGCCTCAGCATCCTGAACACTGGGATTACAGACATGTGCCACCATGCTTGACGCCATTAAAAGCTTATAGGACCATGCTCGTGTGTGTGGCTCGTTACTGTCTACACTGTCCTTGTGCTGCACCTGTCTGTGTAGGGAACAGTGGTCAGCCCCCTTGACCTCCCACATGATGGACTGTGGCTTCCTGTCCCGTCTCCTGCATCCTCGCCTGCCCTGAAGCTGACCTCTGCACCTCACACTTTCCACCCCATGGGCTCTATTGCCTGCCCAGTCCACTTTGACTCTTCTCACCGATGTTTTTTTGTAAACTATCTTCCTGACTCCTGATGTCCAGTAATGTAATTTCCTATGAGTTTCTGGTCTTGAACAGAGAAATCAACCGGTTCCTCTAACTGAGGAGGACATTGTACTTCTGTAACATCTTAAAAGAAGCTATGAAGTCAAGGGCTGCTTTGATCTTAGCGTGCGAGGGATAAATGAAGATTGTGATCTGGTTCTGCGAGGCTGTTTACTGTTACATTACAAAAGAATGTGCATTAAGATTGATTATCTTTGGTGGAGGAGAAAAATAAGGGGGATTCTTAAAAGATAAGTTAAAGAGGCTGGGCTCAGTCCAATGCTAATGGAGAAACCAGCCCTTGGACGGACGTTATAAAGAACCATTGCTTAGAATAGTTGGAGGTTGAACTATGTTTATGGTAGATAATTGGGTGGCGGAGGGTATGATTCACTCTCTGAGGCCCTAGATGAGTCAAAAGGATTGCTAATTATGTCTTTCTGAGCAGTTTGGGGCATGGGTAAAAATATCTGGGGATCATGATTGATACCAGCATGTGTAGAAATAGGTCAAGATGAAATCTCACTGACAGCAAGACAGCCCTGCCGA